TGAAAATAAATTAGTATTTGAGAAAAACTGTATCAATTAAATAATACTAACCACACTTATCACTATAATCTCTACAATGGAACCACAGGAGTGAAGGATAAATAGAATTGGAAAATTGCTCTAGCAGGAGGCTTGATTGGGGAGGTTAAAGGAAGATAGAAGAAAATACTAGCAACACTTTTAAAATTTGTCAGTCAACTCCCCATATCCATCTATATTCTTATCTCAATCCATGTGCTTTCATGTGAACCTTGGCAGAGGCCTAACTCTTGTTTTTGGTGCTTCTGTTTTAGCCATTTCAGCTGGGTTTTGTAAGACTGAAAGATAGCTTTCATCTCTACTCAAAGAATACTTTAGCTTGAGAAAGAAAACATCCAGGTAGAGTCAGTCATAATAAGTAAAACACTTTGCTTACTTTTTTATTTGTTCTAACTTATCCTCTTCTGCCTTAATATAATCTTTCAGAGAAGTCACCAGATCTTTCTCAGTATGGATCAAATCGGTCATCTGACCTAGAAGGGGAAGGGGAGAAGAAGGTTATCAAATATTCGTTTTCATCAACACAAGTATTTTAGAATAATTTAAGAATGACTGAGAATGCTTCATTCTATGAGAACTTAACTGGTATGAATCAGATACATTGGAGAGGGTAATCTTTTTTTTTTTCTTTTTTACCAGGTAAATCAAAATAAAGCCAAAAACTTTTCTAATCAAGTATTCCAGCTCTAATTTTCAAGCTACTTAATTTTGCATGCTTAGACTATCTTTGCAAACTGTCTTTTCACCTACAAATTTATTTTTAAATTACAAAACAACACAACTTTCCAAGGATCAATGTTTGTTCTTCACCAACTCCTCCCTCGCCTTTTTTTGTTTTTGAAACTAATTTAATTTTCATTCAAAAAGCAAAAAATACACTAAAAAGAAGTTTCATATGATCTGTGCTTAGTTATTTATAATAGGATGAGAAGAGTCATCATTTTATATCCTCAAATCAGTGTTATAAAATACTTATGTTTTAGTTAGCTCTACAATTCTACAATGGTAATACTGGTCAACAGAATGAAGGAAAAATATCCCATTGAAGATGGATAAATCATGCATACGGGAAAATATAAAAAGATATATATCAAAGTATGAGGAATATTCTGGGAGGAGGG